AAAAATGTTATCCTTTTATAGATATCAGCATTAAGTGATGAGCTTGTCTTAATAACTTATAGTATTAAAATGGTTTAATACATATATTCATTGCTAACAATAGTATTCAAAATGATGCACATTAATGTCTGTCACATTGCACAATAGTGTTGGATCAAATGCACATTAATGTGTTTGAGAATGCACATTATCATAACAATGTGTTTCGTACAATAACATCGTGTGACAAAAAAAAAATGTTATGTATAGTGTGCATTTTCACATACATTAAAATATATGTCCCGTTTTGAGTTTATTTATAAAGAAATAACATAACTACATTATCATAACAATGTGTTTCGTACAATAACATCGTGTGACAAAAAAAAAAATGTTATGTATAGTGTGCATTTTCACATACATTAAAATATATGTCCCGTTTTGAGTTTATTTATAAAGAAATAACATAACTGATAGAACTATATAAAAACATATTAATTTTTTATTCACGCTTGTTCGAGATGTCAATTATAATATTCATCGCTATGGAAGTGGAAAACTTTATATATATATATATATATATATATATATATATTATTTATTTTTAACACACAATATGTAAAATATTGAATAAAAATTTAAAATTACTATATATATCTTTATTATATAAATAAGTTTATAATAAAAGACAACGTTAATTTGAAAATACATTATCAACGTCACTATAATTTAAATGCACATAAAAAATACCTGATTGATATATTACATAATAATGTTATACGAAATGAACATTATTGTATGTGAGAATGCATATTATTAATTTCGATATTTCATTTATTATGTCTTTTCAATAAAAAATAATACAAAATATTAAATGTAAATATTAAAATGCTAAATATATCTTTTATAGTACAAATAATAATTATCATTTTTCATTATATAAGGTAATTCGGTTAACCGATTCAGATTGGTTTTAGTTTAGTATGGGACAAATCATAAAAAATGTATGCAATGTTATTGTATTTAGACGAATTCCACATTAATGACTATCATATTTCACATTAAAGACCGGACCGCCAAGCTAATAATTTTGGTTAGAAAAAATTATATTTCGATTATCTATTTTTATTTTCAAAATCTTGGTTATCTCAATGGCATTTTAAATGTATAAGCAGACACAATTCATTAATTTTGTAAGAAAATACTAGACGAATTTTTATTGTGCACGTCCTCGATAAATAGTGTGCGACTCACGTAACATTATAAATCTTTCACTATATTAAAGATTTGTTTCATGTACCCAACTACCCAAATAAATTAGATGTACTTTGAACACATCTAATTCACCAACAAAGGACCCAGCCCCCCAAAATCAAATCCTACCATTGCAGACATAATAGCGCCACCGCTCGTCGCCTCCGACGTTCAGTTTGGCGATCGATCACCGTCGGACATCCCCTCTGACCTGATGTGCCGATTCCCAACAATTGTTCCCATCCGAAACACATCCACCGTCTGCCACGACCACCATCTCTGCCGGCCCTGTCACCGCCGACACCTCCCATGATTTATTCCGCAACTCCATCCTTCTCTGCAAATCCCCCAACACATTCTTCTGTCCACAACATGTTTGACTGTCTCATTCAAAGTTTGACTTCATCACGACCATAGACTTGATGGATCAAATGGTCTAGAATTATTTTTATTTCTCTCTCTCTCTCTCTCTCTCTCTCT